TCTTCAATTCTCAGAAACAAATTCTTTTACAGACCTTTTCATGAGCCGATGCAAAGTTTGTTCATCATCAAATGGAAAGGCCCAAATCATATCCAGGAGTGAATTCCCAAATGACTTTTTCAAGCCCCACAAACAAAATAAAAGATGGGCAAGTTCGCCTGTCACCAGAGAGAAAGAGACAAGTGAATTAACACGTCCCTTGACAAACGTCAAGTGATCGTTATTATTATCTCTACCTTTCTCCCTCACCTCTTTTATACTTGATAAACGAACAGAACTTTTTAAGACTGCACGATTACTTCAAAGACATTCTTACCCTTTTTTTTTTTGCTATTCAAAAGGGAAAAAGGTTCTGTTATATTATTTAATTTGTTTTTGTTATAAATAAAACTACACTTACCAAAAAAAAAAAAAAAATTACATTTCTTTACGGTAGTGTGTAGTGATTTTCTGCAAGGAAAGTCTGCAAAAGAAGTAAATAGGCCAAATTTTTTTATTACGCCTGCATAGGTACAATGCAGTAAATTAGTAAACATGATGGCAGTAATGGGGAACGAATGACCAACAAGAAGTCTAATTTTTTTCTTATTGATAACTCCAACACGGTAAGGTTTCCTCATAATTTAATTGTTAATTTGAGTTCAGCATGTACTTTTGGATGGAATTATGACAATTTTGGAAAAATTTTAAGGGATATTAGTGCTTGGGAAACAAAACCAAAATTTACCTCATTGTCGTATTATACACAAGGATGTAATTTATTCCATTTTAGCTTCAGAAACATGGCTTCAAAATATACTAAATGATGCAATTTATCCCGTTTTTAGCTTCAGAAACATGTGGTCATATTATACTGAAGGGTGTATTTTATTCCTTTTTTAGCTTCAGAAACATGGTGCCGTATTACTGAAGGATTCAGTTTATTCTGTTTGTAGCTTCAGAGATATGTGGTCATATTATACTTAAGGATGCAATTTATTCCGTTTTTAGGTTCCGAAACAGTGGGTCGATTCAAGTCTATAATATAACTTTACTCAAGTCATATTATGAACAAGAAAACATAGCAAGTTACTTTCCAAATGTTATGCCACTTTCAATTTTTAGGCAATTCTTTGTAATCCATAGGGTAGCCCCAAACATTTGGTCTCTAATGTATTTATATAAATCTGTAAATGCTGCTTGGTTTATGTGTTGAGTTTATCAAATGTAATTGCGTGTTCTAAGAGCAACGATTCAAGAAAAAACAACGAAACTCCAATTGTGCATCAACAATAAAATATATATTGAAACAATAACATTCATGTAATGTTGTGTAGTAATTAAGGGAGAAAAAGTTGCTTCCCTTCAACTGTATTCTGATTAAGATTGAATGTTCAAAAGAATTTCTCTTGAATAAGAATGTTCAGGATTCTATGTTGAATAGAGTCTGGTGTAGAAAGGAATACAGTCAATTAAGAAGTGTGTTGGTTTGAGAAATATATAGAGTGCTGGTTCATGAACTTGGCTTAGTCAGATGGAGGAAGGATATGTGTAATGTGATTCAAAAATCTGTGTGTGTGTGTTGTGAGTAAAGTCATAGATTTGTGTAGACAGGCATAAATAGTTGGACTCTACTGAAAATTGTGGAAACAAACCACTTGTTTATACAGCTGCTGGTAGGCTCCAGGCAACAATGTGGGAAAGTAGATTTAGCACAAAAATGTTTGATTGGTTAAAATTCAACCAATCACTGATTTCGTAACAAAGACATATGTAAACAAGTTCACGGCAGGAAAATTCAAAGTGGTGACTGCGATTGCTAAATTGTCTTATGGAAAAGCAGTAGCTATTTACTAGCCAATTGCAGATGAATAAATTGTAGGCGTGGAAAGCGTAGCAGTCGCTACAAATCCTTGAGATTTTCAAAATGGCTTGATACTTTCCAGACAGTTCTCATATTTTACAATTCTATTTTGGTAATTTCCTTGATATTTATTTGTCTTCTATTACTTTTGCTCTTGAGAAACAACATTTGAAAATGTAGTTTTCTAGTGTACGTACCAAATATAGCGTCGGGTCTATTCACTAAATGTAGCAGAAACACCAAATATATAGGTACTACTACTATTTATATTAATGATTCTTCCACGTACAGGATTCAAGAAATAATAGCAACAACTCCAATTTGTTAACCAACAAATATATATTGAATAAAATACAACAAGCATGAAATAAAATCGTATTCACAATGTAGATTAAAGAGAAGGAAGTTTTTTCCCTTTGACTGTAGATTGATTGTAATCAACCGTTTGAAAAAAGATCTCTTGTGAGATAAATGTTCCAAAATAATTGTTAGAGCAAAGTTTGCATGTGAAGAATGAATAACACCAAGAATACAAGTGCTTGAAATGTGTTGTGAATAAACTGGTTGGAATCAACAAAGTTCTGGTTGATTGTGTATTATGAAAGTTACAGAGAGAAAAATGTAAGTTTGTAGTTACGAAATTCTGTGTCTGTGTGTGCGTTAGAGTGTGATGAGCAAGATCTTGGATTTGTGTTGACGGCTGGGATCTTACTGGATCTTACTGGTGACTTGTGAAAAGTCACCCTATTTAAAGGAAAAGAGGTAGGCTCCCACGGAACAGTGGGAAAACTTTGTCTTACGTTAAAAATATGTGATTGGTTAAAAATTAACCAATCACTACACACGTACTAAACAGAATAGGTAAGTATGCTCAGAACCAAAAGATTCAAAGGAATGACTGCAATGGCTAAATTGTCCTATACAAAGGTAGTAGTAATTTATTAGCCAATCGCAGGTGAATAAAATAACTTGGAGTGTATGTGGGTGTGAAAAAGATAGCAACTGCTATAGTTTTCTATTTCAAATCAAACATGAGGTTCTAGACCCTTTAAAAAATATAAAACTCTCACAACCACAAAGTACAACATTGATGTACTGTCTAAGCTCTGAATAAGAAAATCTAAAATAAAATTTAGAAAATTAAAGTTAAAAGCAATTGTTGCTTCAAGAAAACCTGTTTTATTTCAGATAGGGCAGTTTTATTTATAGTCTTGCAGCAAAATTCCTGAGAAAAATGACACAGACTTAAACAGTTCTTTAAATAGACATTGTATTGCTTTGAAGAAATAAGAGACCACTGATTTTTTCATTGTATGTAAGTGCATCAGATTATATATTTAAAATACAAATGTTGTTTATTAGATAGGGTTTAATTCTTCTTTCTATACACCTTAAGACATGGCTCTCCACAACATTCTCTCTTTTGTAGCTCTTATCAATGTTTGTTCTTTTGCTATTCTTTCCGCATCCTCGGATAAGCGATGAATCCATCCTGCAGTTATAGGTAAAATAGTAGGGTAGACTGGGCTTGTTTGATTAGCTCCATGCTAGAAACACAGAATAATAATAATAATAATAATGAGGACATTAACAATTCCTGCTGTAGTTGGAGCCCTCGGATTGATTGGAAATAGATTCCAATACATTCATTGAAGGAATCCCTGATAGCCCATGTCTTAAAGAAATACAAAAATTGTACTCACAAGTACAGCTCACACCTTACGAAGGGCTTTATCTATGTAAAATATGTGCGATTTTTTTTCAAAACTGCTCAGTGGAAAATATCATGGTGCCATTTCTGACCTTAGGTTTCAGGTTGGGACCCAGAAAGAAATGAGTATACAGCAGAAAAGAAAGGAAGAAAAATAATAATAATAATAATAATAATAATGATACGGCATTGTGCTTAATGTGATGGTGATCTTGTTCATCTTGGAATTTCCTGTTAATTGATTAATTACTAAAAGAAATCTATCAAACATCTTATGAAACTCACCTGTCATTCTGCTCATTCCTAGAATCATTTCATTTGCATGCCTTTGTTGGAGTTAACTCCTCCTTAATTTCCTAATTGTTCACTAGGGGACGCACTCCCTACACTATAAATACTGGCCGATTTCTTGCCTCGTTCTCTTTTTCATTTTTTCATTTTCAGCGAACACATCTACAATGTAAGCTCTTGCAGAAGAGTGCATCTTCCCATTTGTGGGGGATGCCATGAACATTATACACGTATACACGTATGTACGAACATTCACCAAAATACAAACTTTCACACACAAACACAAATGTCCATTGTAAATTTTGTTGTTTAATACATATACTTGTTTGTATCTATATATCGGTCTTGTTGGTTTTCTTTACACTTCTTTATGGTGGATTCAATCTCTGAGTCCACCATGTTCTTGTATTGGACCTTCTTCTAGCAGGAATAAACGCTCGTGTTTCTAATTTAATAACACGTAAACACTCGGTTCGCTATAACTTTTATGACCAGGATGCCAACCAGGGCTGCATATTAATTTACGCTCCCATTTTCTTTTTGTCTGCCAACTGGACGTGAGTTGGATTTACCTTTCTTACTCACTTTACTTCGCCTCTTTACTTCTGGCTCCTTGCCCATGTTTGACTCTCGGCTTTCCGTCCCTACTGGCTGCCCGCACGTCGTCTGTAACCTTTCCCGTACACTACGGATATGATTATTACTGGAGGTTTTGATATCGGACTTGACCAGCAGATATGCAATGCCAGCACCGGATATTCAATATGCCCAACAACATCGCAATGCCAGCTCCAACAAACGACAAGCTAAAAATTAATACTATATTTATTTACATCATCTACAAAGGTATGTGCTTGGATTAAAGGAACATGAACAAACAATGAATCAAGAAATCAAGGCAGAAGTAAGTAAACTGAAGGGTGTGGGACAATGCAATGAAGAAAAGGTCAAGGTCATGAAGATATATAATATCTGCCCTTGATCACATGAATGGAGTAGCAAAGGGCTATGATATATGTATATATGTATATACAGGGTGGGTTGAAAGTAGATATTGCTTCTAGAATATTTAGTATCACTGAAGTCATGATGAAAACATTTTTTTAAACAGACAACACTAATAGGGATTTCTTATTTACATGTCAGAGCTAAAACCTGAAGATAGTGACTGCAGAATGGAAAATGAAGAGTTAATGCGAGGGTGGCAGAAAGATTGGCCTGAAAACATACTCTGGAGTGATGAGGCTGTATTCCATGTTGGTGGTTTCATCAATCGTCACAACTGCTATTACTGGGTGTCATGAGATAATGATATGAACATGCCAGTTGAGAGGATGCAAGCTTGACCAAAAGTGACCATGTGCTGCTGAATGATGGAAACAAGAGTCATCAGACCATATCATCTGTGTGACATCATGAACAGTGGAGTAATGGTTAGCGACTCGGATTGAGGAATCAGAGAGCCGAGTTCAAATTCCAGTTAAATCCATTACATTCACTTAAATGCTAATAACCTTGAGAAAGGTATGAATCCTCTTCTTCACCCTCCAGCTATGGGTAAATAGCAGGACAGACTGGGTTTTATAGCCTTGGATGGCAACTGGTCTATTGCAGAAAGAAATGGCAACCTGCTGTGGGAAAAAAATATCTGCCTTGTCAGTCATATATCAAAAGATACATGACTGCCTAAGCATCTCTCACGCATGTCATATAACTGACTGAAGAGGAGGCATGGTGGTGTAATGGATAGCGGCTTAGAGTGAGGAATTGGAGGATCAAATTTGAATTCCAGTCGAACCATTACATTCACTTACATGATAATACTCTTGGGAAACATATGAATCCACTTCTTCTCCCTCCATCTATGGGTAAATAGCAGGACAGACCGAGTTATATAGCCTTGAATAGCAACTGGTCTACCGCAGAAAGAAATAGCAACCTACCGTGGGAAAAAAATTTGGCTCTTCAGTCATGTATCGAAAGATACATGATCGCCTAAGCATGTATCATGCATGACACATAACTGACTGATCTTCAGATGTTCAAAAAAGTGCGTGTAGCCCATGGTGCCTGGTTGGGATAACATTGGTGACCTGATATTCATGCAGAATGGTGCACCATTCATGCAGAATGGTGCACCACCTCATTTTGCTTTTACTGTTTGTGTATGATTAGACCAACATTTTTCAGGACATTGGATGGGATGATGCAGACCTCAAGAATGGCCTTCAAGATGTCCAGATCTCACTCCATGTGATTTTTACCCATGGGATTAAACAAAAGAGGAGGTGTATAAGACAAAATGTCGCACAGATTCAGGAAGTTTGCAGTGATATCCCAGATGACATACTTCAGAAGGTTGTTCATTCCATCCCTGGCCGTTTGAGGAAACTGGTTGATGTCACCAGTTCTTAAGATTTTCTTTCATTTTCCCATGTAATAAAAAACATGTATCATTTGTTTCAATAAATTTGTAATAGGAATATGAATTTTATTACCAATTTTTAATGCCTACTTACTTTTCACCATTCTGTAACTATATATGTATATGTGGCCTGGAAATTACATCTAGCATGAAACAGACTTTAAATTAAAAACCATTTGACATAATTTCTATATTTTACTTTTTATATTTATACACGCTCTATCTCTGGTATTGAGCACTTTATCCCATAAATATAGCACATCTTAAGACTATATTTCTTCATATATGTGTATATATATGTGTGTGTGTGTGTGTGTATATATATATATATATTTATGTATGTTTGTATATATATATGTATGTGTGTGTATATATATATATATATATATATATATATGTATGTATGTATGTGTGTATATATATATATATATTCTCTTTTATTTTAGGCATGTCTGATTAAATCGATTACAGACATTATGTCTGTCTGCTTAATTTTAACAAAATCTGTTCATACTCACAAATAACATTCCATATATTGATATTAAATTATCTGAGAAATGTGCTATAACTGTTTAAATCACTTTTATTTCCCATTTCCCAAGTAATTTCAGTCTTCATCCAAGATCATCTTCAGGGGTGCAAGTAGTACAAAACTATGTTGTTCAGGAGTACAAGTAGTTATACAAAGCTGTGTGTTGTTATCCATTACTGTAATTTTTCATTATGCTTTAAAATGCAACAGTTGATATGCGTGCTTAGTGTTCATTAGAATGTAAAAAATTATCCATTATGGAATTTTTTCTTCAATGTTATAATGTCACAGTCTTGTGTACATTAAAGTGTGAAAAAATGTTCCTTTATAAGCATTTTAGAACATTACTGCAGTGTTCATGGTTGATTCTATTCAGTGCCAGCTTTAATTTTTTAATGTAGATTGCTTCAAGGATCTGTAGCTTGAATTTGTTATTTTCTTAGTGTAGGATAGTTGTGTTGTCGATCAGTAATTTTTTATATTGTGAATGTTGTTGTAGATGTCTCACAATGGATGAATGGTTAAATATGTGCAGTATAAAACAACTTATTAATGTAGTTGTCATGTATGCAACATATATATTTGTTTTTTTGTCAAGGATACATTCTTCCAAGGGACATTTGAATTGGTATATAATGTTGGTTTTACATAAGACATCATTTGGTGGAGGGGTTGCTGCTTAAATACACAAATTTTTAAATACATGTATATTTTGTATATATATTATTTTATATCAGCAGTACTTATTGAAAAGGGCTCAATATCAGTGATAGAGCTAACATTCAGTTTGCCTGATGATTGCAAAAGCATTTTAAACCTAGGATCACAAGCTCATATTCATACAACAGAATATATATATATATATATATATATATATATATATATATATATATATATATATATATAATCAAATGTATACAAGTAAAATTTAATGGCAAAACAAAAGTTTAAAAAAACTTTTTGTCGTTGAAATAGAATAAAACGACATGCGTTGAATGGATGTCATCATTTGTTTGAAAAGGCAAGAACCTTTTTAAAAAACTAATATGTTGATACAATAGTTGTCAGTAAAAAGAATTTCACTGCCCCATGTTAAAATAACTATTTTTCCTCAAATCCATAGAAACTAATATTATGAATGTATGTGCTTATAAAACTCAGTAAATTCCAAAATAAGTTATTCCAAAAGAAAATTTGAAAATGAAACAGAACTAGGGACTTTAATTTAATTCTGTATTTGAATTTGAAGTTTTTAGCTTCTGTTTTTGAAACATTGTAATTGTTTATGTAGCAATGGAACCATATTTTTAAATAAGTAAATTCATAATATATATATTTAAATTCCAAGAATTTTATTTATATTTTTTTATAGAAAAAGTTATTTAAGTAAATATTCCGTTTATAATAATATATTTATTAATGAAACATTTGGGGCCTGAATGTCCAAGAATATTTTTTCAACAGAAAATATTCATCCTCTGACAGTTGACTGTGGGTTTTGACATTTTTTTTTGGTAAATGTTTATGACAATTTTTATTTTAAAAAAAAAACATTTAATAATTAAATAATCTATAAAAAATGTATAAACATAAAAATTCTTAAATTTGTCTATATTTTTTGTCCATTATATAATATATATATATATATAAATATATATATATAAATATATATATTTGATGAATGCGATGATCTGGTGGAACAGGATTTTTTCAATACTCATATAAAACGGCGAATTTAACCCAAAAAATTAATTTTCAAATTAAAATCATTATTTGATATTTTGGCTTAATTCTGATTTTTTGATTTTTTCAAATTTTGATATATATATATAAATATATATATTATATATATATACCAATAGTTATATATATAACATATATATATATAAATATATTATAAAATAAATATATATATATATATATAATATATATTATTATATATATATATATATATATATTTTTATATTTATATATATATATATATAAAAATATATATATATATATAAATAAATATATTTATGAATATATATAAATATATATATATATATATATATAGTCCAAATATATATATATATAATATATATATATATATAAAAAATATATATATATATATAAATATAAATATATATTTATATATATATATATATATATATATATATATATATATATATATATATATATATATATATTTAACCCGTTATTTTATATATAAATATATATAATGATTAAAAATATATTTATAAGATTAATGAGAATAAAAATTACGAATAAAAAAAATTATAGGAAAAAACAAATATAATTTTATAATTTTATAGGTTAATTAAAAGAAAAAGTTATTTAATACTGTTTATCATAAACATTATTCATTAAAAAAAATAAATAGTATTTACGAAGAAAAAGAACCAAAAAAAAAAAAAAAAAAAATTGTCGGACCTTTTCCATTTTTTAATATATATATATATATATATATATATTTAATATATATATATAAAAATATATATATTATAAATTAATTGATTTAAAATATGGTTATTTTTCAAAGAACACAGTTCCAACCATGTTTCAAAAAATAGATATTTAAAAACCCTAATTTTATTTTTGGTGTAAAATAAATTAAAAGCATTAGTTCCATTTCATCTTCAACTGATTTTTTGAGTAACTTTTAAAATTTACCGGGTTTAAATACACAGCTAAAATCATTTCCATGGTTACAGAATATTCTACTCAAATTGATCAAATCTTACACATGTCTAGATTTTCCTTATGACAGTATCATTGTATCAGTTAAAGAAACATTTAATAAGGGGTGAGGATGTATTTTACTCTGAAATGACGTCGGTTGAATGGATGTCGTCTGAATTAAAAAAAAATGAAAAAAAACATATAAAAAACAGATGTAGAAAAAATTATTTGGTAAACTGGACATATAACAAAATGGTAAAGAACAGATTAGGACATAAATTCCTCACATTAATACTTCAAGTTTTTCCCTTTGAAAATAAACTAACTACTATTTTCAATAAAAACACTAAAAAAAAAGTTATAGCTGTACAAAGAACTTAGAAAAAATCATTAAGAACCATAATGCTAATATCTTAAATAAACACTTATACCAAAAAACCAAAAAAAAATTTAGACAATAGAAAAATTAAGATAAAAACTGATGTAAATAAACAAAACTATGTAATATGTTAAATAATCAAATTTGCCCAACAAAATAAATGTTGCACTGAATCATTAGTATACCAATGCAATATCTCTTCGATTGAAAATCCTGATAACATAAAAAATATATATAGGTTGCACTAGCCAT